TGATGCTTCTTTATAAACTTCTCTTAATGATAGGGCTATTGTTTTAGTTTATGTTTCCACAGTAAAATATCATTGTTGGTAGTATAAATATTGCTCTTACATTCCTGTTACTTAACTTTGAAAATAGCATAGTACTACGACGATATCGGTGTTAATACAGTGGTCAGATTAGTTCTGCTACCAAAGATAAGAGTGATAGCTCTGCTGCTAGTGAAGATATAGACATTTTTGTCAGAACTGCATCAGTAATGAAGTTCAATTCTAGCATTAGTATCATATTAACAAAAGATTAATATGAAATCACGCTTTATTGAGAAAACCGGAGTTAGAGCCAGTCGAATGGACCTGGTCGATGTTTGTGTTCTATTCTAACCATGCTGTGCTACGCCAGCTCATACTAAAATCCCTTTCTCTCTTACTTTCTTCAACTCTACCAAAATGTTCACTCCCACTACTATTTGTCCAATATCTGTGAATGCTACCACATATTGTATTTTCACTCATCATTTCTCAATCTCTCATTACTAGTATTTCGACAGGACACTCTTTCGCTCCAATTTTCGTTCCAAAAACAGTCATTACTACATGTACTAAAATTATTGCTAATAATAACGTTAGTAGAACTTAGTAATCCTAGCACAACACTAGCAAATCGATGAAACTAGCTGAGAGACAGACGAAACGAAGGACCAGCATAGTGTTGTGTTGAACGTGTTACTCCCCGGAAAGGACAATAGTGCGTTCGTTCCCCACCACAGACACCTGTGTTTCGCAGTTTTGCAAATATCTCAGAATCGTTGTGGTTGTTTCACATGTAACACCCTGCCGTAAAAAATCGTAATAGGCAATAAATGAGATGTTAACATAATAACATTAGTATTATTATTATTGCTAAACATTACTGTTACTACGATGCGTATTGCACAATAATTAGAGGTATGCTGCCACATCATACGTGTACTCTGCACCTACTCCTCTCTAGATCAACCAAAGCCTCTAATTCTCCGTGGCCCGTAAATTCGTTCCAGACTCATCTGAGAAAATCTCCCTTTAATCAACAAAAGCATGCCACCTCATGTGGTGAACATCTGAGAACTTTTCTCTCAGCTTCGATTCTGGGCAGAATTATACTCGTCCAGCATCTAACAACATTCAGCAACATCCATAAGAAAGACTGATTTCTCAAGTTGTGTCTGAAACCACACCCAAATCTATGGTGGTAGATGACGGGTGTAGAGATACACTGCAGTTCGCATCAAACGTCAAGATGGATCTTTCTAAATAGAACTGAAAATTATTACTATTCCAAGTTTCTGGAAGGGTCAGTGAAAATAAATTGGCTATATCAAAACCGTGCTAGTTTTTGTCCCAAGTCCTAGCGTAAGCCATCCGTTTGTCTATTCGAGCATGTCTTACGTAGTGGATAAGGCCAGCGCAACCAACGTGAAGTTATGCTTGAACTAACATGCGCGAGGATGCAAGAAATGATCTTCCTGCTTTTGTTGAAATGTAACGCCTTTCCTATATGCTTACTTGTACGCATACGAGAGTTTGTATGCTTGCGGGTATACGGAACGGTCACGCACATCGATTCACCTCTGCATCATGCACAATGTTTTTTATCTGTGTACATCTATCACCAAGGAGAATAGGTCTAAAGGGGCTACGTATTCCTCACCATGGAAATGTTTTCGGAACAGAGCATTTGTAGGAATGCGCGCCGAGAGGATATAAAGTCACAGTATGAACGACGACTACGAAGGTCTGTACACACAACTCATTCTCTCTTGTTCCAATAGTTCCCATAAAGATCAATTACTTGCCACGCAGCTAAGATCGAGCCGAAAAGTCTATCTTCGTGATTCTCGATAGAACTAGCTGAGAGATAGCAGAAACGAAGGACCCGCATGGTGTGGTATTAAACGTGTCGCTCCCCGGAAAAGATAATAACGCGTTCGTTCCCCACTGCAGACACCGGCGATCCGGAGTTTTGCAAATTTTTCAGCATCGTTGTGGTTGTATTTCGCAACATACCCTGCCGTGAAAAATAGTAGACAGCAAATAAAGAAAAAAAAAGTTAGCACTATCTTCTTGGTCAAGCTGCAACGGAGATTACATGGAGCGGTTTTAAGTGAACCAAACAGAGTTTTAGAGGAGAGTTATGCTTCTCACGAAAGCACCATCGACGACTTCGATGCCAAGATTACCCTTCCGATGAACTTCACACTGGTCCAGTGGAATGACGTTAAGCGAGTACGATGATGGTTGTCCGAGTTATTAATGACATGGCACTATTAATGACACCACTCATGGCAAACGGTAATTTAAAAAGTTCGATATTAGACGTGGAAACTGGTCTACAGGGCTATAATGGAATTGATAACGTCACAATCACTCGAAGATTTTTTCTTGTTTAGCAGACCTTTTTTTTCAAGACTTTCTATTAAATTGTATCATCTCACACCGCACTCGAAATTCTTTCTGCAGCAAACCGTGAATTTTTAAAATCAAAAAAGTGGAGGAACAAAAACCGAAACCATCACAAATATGGTTTTTTACAGCTTTGAAGCCTCCACAGCCTTTGGTCTTGCAAAGTTGCTGTTATCGTGAACACCTACATCAAATAAGATGGTCTTATAAAATAACTCCATACGATGACGTCAAGAAAGGCAAGATTTTCCACTTCACATAGAAACAACCGTTTCCAGGAACACAAGAGCTGAGACGCTGAGCAGTTGCATCAGCCAGCCACCGCCACGTCATGGCTAGGAACGCAACTCCACATTCGCTTTTCGACGTTTACGACTTCGTTAGGTCACTTAATGCTCTTAGACTCGCTGGGAATTGCAAAATTTTATTACAAGAAGTTCCTTGCTTGGCGAAGATGAAGGAAGAGGAATAGAGGAAATCGGAGCTCATTTCACCAAATTAAGGGAAACAAGGGGAAGGCCATCGACTTGGTAGTTAGGGCAGACTTGATAGTCTTATTTTTCGTTTAAGCAAAGCTTGAGGGTAAGTGTTCAAATTGACATAAGCTATTGCTGTAGTGGAACCCATTGGAATCTATTTGGTCAATGACGTAAGAATTAGTTTCTTCCATTTATTTCATTTACTCTATATTACATTTATATAAAGCGCAGAAACGCATAAAGAATAAAACCACACTCATATGCAACTCACCGGATTAGTCTCAGTGGTGAGAGACTTTTTAAATAAAATAAAATGTTCATCAATGACAAAAAAAATCAAAGGCTTTTGTTTTTCCTAAGCTGAGTGCTGCTAGCATTACCAGTACTAGTTCAGATTTCTTTTTATATTTTTCGATTTCTTCAGAGAAATCGGATCCTTATTCTTCAGTTTTCCACTTTTCTTCTCCTACCATTGATTCATTGAGCAAGAAAATTGCAAAGGCGCCAAAAAACTACAGATTGAAACCAAAATATTTCAAAACACACATCGTGAACGTCGAAGTGAGTGGCAGTTCCTTGGCTCGAAGTTCTGAAGTGCCTACCTTTTCAAGCTGAGAACTATCACAAATGGAGCCATCCTTTACTGAACAAAAACATTTCTCTAATAGTTTTACAATGATTAGCACTAGTATCATGCAGGAAAGCAAGAAGTCGTAGGCTTTGTAAAAATTCTCGAAGAAAATGTGGAAATTACTTAAAAATTTCTTGGCATCTAGCAGTAAAATTATTGTGATGCTAAGTGTTGCAATGAATTGTACTAGATGTAGTTCGATCCTTAAGAGCGTTGATGAATTCCTTAGCAATGTGTTCGACTCAACTCTTAGCATCGTAGAGGTAACTGAGCGCATATTTTACCTACACAATGACTTATGAAAACATCGATTTATTAACTCAGTTTTTCATGCTTCTAGACAACTCTGGTACCAATTCGCCGATCCCGGAGAGACTAAGACTTAGTTTGCTCAACGTGCAAGATAGAACCAAAAATTTTATGGATATTGTAGAGCACATTTTACCACTAACTTAGATTCACTACTACTCAAGCGCTTAAATATCTTTTTCCACGTTGAAGAAAACTGATTATCAATAATAATTATTCGCTACTTTTAGAAGGCTGACAGCACAATGGTAGTGATGTCCATCATCACCAGCATGGCGCTATTTCGATTGCGCTCAGGACCAACCAAGCCTCTCATCCCCGGGATCGGGAGATCAGTACCGAGCTTTTCAGGGAAAAAGCACTCTTTGCAATCCAATTGGGAACGTTCCAGCCCGGTTATACCAGGACTCCAGAAAGAATTGCTCAACCTATATTCAAGACGAAATGAAAATCCTCTTGCAGCAAATGAAAATACAAGTAAAAGTTGGATGATCTTCGTGGATGACTGATGCGAGGAAACGAATCGAATGTGAGAAGTTCTGGGATCCGCGCAGTAGACGAGATAACGGGTCATATAATTTTAAAAAAATAATAAAATTATTCATTACCATAGCACGCGAACCAACACAGACAGTGTAGTCCATGCACTGGAACCTTCTGTGTTTCAGAGAAGGTATGAACAAGTTCGCATTAGTGAGTGACCTGTGAGCTTACCACCATCGGAACCTCAACGCACTCTAGCGACTGGTACGGTTACGATCATCCTTATGGAAGAGATTTGTCGAAACATTTCGTGGACAATACGCTGATTAGCTTCAATGATGCTGAGATATTTGCAAAACTCCGGACCGCAGGTGTCTGCGGATCGCAGCATTTCTCACACTCAAAGCATAAGGAGACTCTACCTTTCCTTAAGATGATTGGCCAGTATGTAGATGTGATGTAAATGTAGAAGGATAAAGTCCTGATGCTTCTTCGACTACTTCAAGAAGGTTGACACACAGTCTGCTACTTCGCGTAGATTTTTCCCTAACTATCCATATATGACAGAAAACAACCTCGTTTTGGAAAATTTTGTTGCATTCTTGATGTTCAGTGGTTCGGCTTTCCAAAATCTTTTATGTTTAGTTGACTCAGTTATATCATCTCAGATGCTTATTCTCCTGATCTTCTCTATGATTACTCCGGCGACGTGCCAGTTGAACTCGAGACTTCAACCTCTTCCTAGCGGCATGCTCAAATCACATGTAAACTCAAGAACGTTTCGAAGACCAGTTGGACGTGTTAAAGCCGCCACTTTTGCTGTGCCGAATTCTTTCCCGAACGTACGATGGAACCACCCTATACAGGTGATAATGACACCTTTCACTTACGCTACTGTTTTCAGAAAACCCTATTGGCGATTTTGTTTTCATATTTGTCTTAAACTTCTTTCAGAACCTGCAACAACGAAGCGCCATAGATAAAAAAGCTGTGGATAACTTTGGAATGAAGAATGGTGCATCAATCCTAGCAGGAAATATGTCAATCGAATTCATAAAGGAAATATCGGAATACCTTTACGATCTGATAACCGATACATCTTCATCACAACGTCATAAGTCGCGGACACGAAGTAATTCTATCAGGAGTAGCGAGGTAATGGATTACGAGGACCAGACCAGATTTTTAGAGGCCATGAATCGGTCACGCAGCCTTAGCATGGCCGTAGTGCATTCGCATAGAACAAGGTTGAATACGGCATCGATAGCCCGTCAAAATGACGCTGTTCTGACTGGAATGAGCAGAAGGAGGGCGAATTTCACGGGTAAGAGGATTCTGGTTCGTAGTGATCGCAGACGGTATCGCTTATATGGTATAGCATGACTCTGCATCTCAGGTTTCCAATTCAGGTCGAATATTGTACATAAGTGTTAATAAAGTACTATTGTACAGCATTTTATTCCCGAACAAGTGACAATATCAGACAGCTGCTGAGCTAACAAGAATTGTTTGCAGGAGAGGCTGGTACCAAATATGGTTAACCTTTGCGCATCTCTAGATTAATTAACTGATTAAGCACAAATCTTTAATGTAAAATCGTCGTTCTATCAAGAAGAGTTAAGGTAAAAGTAGCTGGAGCTTCACATTGAAAGCGCTTCTTATAAACGTCAGGACCATTTTCTTTCCTATATATCGTACAACCATACAACGTTATACAAACGCGTTCAACGTTTTTCACGTTTGGGGTCTGCTTTCTTCTTCCACCCCTTTTTCCGGAGGCCCTTGGTGATTCCCATGATCAACTTTCTATTAACTTCGGCATTGATCAAATACTTCTCGATATTCTCGTTGAGAAAACACGAGGTGTTACTTTATTCTTTATTCCGTTAAAGCTGACGCTTCGGCAGTATCGGCTTCTCTAGAGCCTGAAAGGGCATGTTGGTCTGCAATTTACTACGCCAAAAAATAACACAAATAATAATAAATAGTAATAATAATAAATAATGAATAAATAAAAAGACGAAAATCTAAGTGGCAACCACACGATCAACAGCCTCCCGATAAACCCACCGCTTATTACGTCTCTTCCATTGAGGAGGAAGAGCTAATCAGGGTCAGACATGGTCGATGCACCACTCCACATCAAAAATCGATGCGAAGGTACGGGGCCAGAACGCACTTGATCTCTGGGCAATGCTCCCTTCTATTCATTCTAGGATTCTTGGTATTCATCCGAAAAGCCTCAAGAAGTTTGCGCGCTCTCTTGTAGCACTTGCAATGATGAATATATTGGCGAAATGGGCAAAGCATTATGTAACCGTACAAAAGAACACCTAGATGGGAAATGAAAAACAAGACAAAGTTTCCCACTACGGATGCATAGCATACAAAAACATGGCGGAGACGATTTTGATATAAGACTCACCATCCTCTCACAGTGGCACAGTGGTCGGAGGCGCCATGCAGTACACATGGGATCGATCCCCGCGTCCAAGGATCACTAACCCTTTCATCCATCCGAGGCTGTTGGGTTGGTACCAGACCTGGGACGAAAGCAGTATTGGCTCGATACATCGGCAGGCTACCGCGAGTTATTATAAGAGGCAGATATGCGTTCAATCACCTCCAAACAATGCTTAGTGAAATGCATAGTGCGTCCCTGAGAGATTGATCAACGCGGAGAGCTTCCTAGAGCTTTATCCTCGCATGGGATGCCAAAACACCAGCGCACAAACTTTTTGAGGCGTTTGGGGTAAATACTAAGGACCCTGGAATTTATAGTAGCGATGAATGTCCAGAGATCACACGTGATCTCCCCCCGTACCTTCGCACCGACTTTTGACGTGGGGCGGTGCACTCAGCAACCATGTGCGACTCTAATCAGCTGTTCTTCCTAAGTGGAAGAGACGTAACAAACGGTTGATTTTTCGAGAAGCTGTTGATCGTTCGATTGCCACTTTAGATTTTCATCTTTCCTTGGGTGTTATTGAAGCGTTTGGCGTAGTAAATTGTAGACCAATATACCCTTTCAGGCTCTCAAGAAACCGTCGAAAAGAAAAGATACCGTCGAAACGTCAACTTTAACTCTCAACAAAAACACACAGTCTTTATAATGCCTAAAAAATGTTCTAGGCATCTGATAAGAGAGAAAGAAGCCTCTCGATTATTGATCTCGACCAAATCCATACAACTGTTTCTGATTTTTACTGTGTCGCCACCACTGTGATTCTGTTTCTGTTTCCATCAAGGAATTCTTAATATCTAACATTTGGAGTTCCAATTTTTAAAACATCCACTGATTGTTTGAAAATTTGCTGGACGATAGCAAGAATACTTAAGTAATTAGAATTTTAACAAATCCACAGAATTCGGTAGTATGTTACGTGTAGCACAGTGGTCGGAGGCGCCCAGCAATACACACGTGAGATCGATCTTCGCCCACCTGGCCCACCAAGCCTTCCATACCTCCGAAGTCGGCAAATTAGTACCAGACTTGTCTGGGAGGATAGCAGCACTGGCTCAATATATCAATAAGCCACTGGAGTCATTGTAAAGGTTATTTATGCATTCAATCACCCCCAACGATGCTTAATGAATTTGAATGCATGCCGCATCCTTCAGAGATTGATCAACGCCGAGAGCTTTCACATTGAAATTTGTTTAGAACCCAGAATAAAAAACAATTAGTGAGGCAAACAATTTTAGCAGTTTCTAATAAAGACGTAGGAACCGTCTAGAATGAAGATATCTTCAAAAACTTCACCGTATATCGCTGGACCAACTCCTGGCTCCTGTAGTTTCGTATAAACACCAGCCAACTCCATTCACTTGGCTGATGCTCATACGAGTCTTCAAAAAGATGCTCGAAAAGCTTAGCGTATCGTTGTCGTAGAACAGTAAAATTTACTATTTAAGTCATCTTTCTATGATCTAAAAGATTCCATCCCATACTTGAAGGGCTAAAATATTGCCTCGCGTATGAATCATATGTGACTTATACAGCCAACGATTTTTTAATGTGTACTGTACTAGGCTTTCCACTTATAAAGAAAAAGATAGAGATAATCTAAAGATAGAGAAGATAGTGGTAATGAAGAAAAAGAAAAAAGGATAATCTATCAGGAAAGGTGGCGATTTGAAATCTCGAACTGTTCCTTCCGAACTGAAAAAGTTGACTTGATCGAACTGCTCTGACGCTTTCTAGCTAACTTTTCTTGCTTCTAGGCAGTTTTTTTCAGTCGGTATCATACTTTCTGTGTAGCATGACTATGAGAAAGGTGCGTGTTGGGCAGTGATTGGAGGCGCCACTGCAACACACACGTGGAATCGATCCTCGCGTCCATGGCCCACCAAGCCTTCCATCCATCCGAGGTCGTTAAATTGGTATCAGACTTGTCTGGGAGGATAGCAACACTGGCTCGATACACCGGTATTCCACCGCTAGTTATTGTAACTTGATACTTGAACGGCCCGTCCTCACTGGTTGTGCGGGCCCCAGCATAATCTCCATTTTTCGGAGATTTGCTGCTTCAGCCATTATGGTCTCTGGAATCCCGAAGTCAGCCTGGCCAAAATCTGCCCCAGGTCTTTCCCACCACGGGCAGTCGCAGCCCTTGTGGATCAGAGGGAGATTTGCCAGCATGCGACTTTAATACCAAGACGGTGATGGGTCCTGGTATTGGTTTGCTCTTGGCTGCGCTTCTTGATAAGACGCCGGACTCCTTCTCAGCCTGGGAGACCCTGCCAGGGCATGAATCCCCCGCCCGCTGTACATCGCAGTCCGACACCCAGGAACACCTCCCAGCCCCGATGAGGCGGTAAACCGTTGGGAGGTTTGTGCATTTGCAAGAAAAATAGCGATCAGCTCTGAATAAGAAGGATAATGTCGATGAACTTGAAATGTTTTACTACTCATTTACAACGATCTCGACATATCATCCTTCATTGTTGTCGTTAACTGACAATATCTTGGATTTTTAGAGCCGACTACAAATTTGTTAAGGAAGCACGACCATTTTCTACAACAGATAAAAGCCTGCTGTTAAGCAACAGCTGGTAGACTGACTACACAACAAACAGAACACTGAACCTTTATTGTGATTTTTATTAAAAATATGCACAGCTGTATAATTTGATGGTGGCGGAAACCCTGCATATCACGCAAAGTTTGCAAACGCACATCTGAAATATCAGGTTATCATCTGTATTACTTGCAATCAGGTTATTCATTGATTAAATCTAACACCAATAAAGTCTTCATTCGCTTCTTCCACGCTTAACGTTAGCCAGTGAGGCTCATTACTGCAAGGGTACCGATGGCAATCGTATTTTCGTAGGAAGCACTTTATTTCCTTGCCTTTTCTTTCGTCCTTTTTTATCTGGTAGGATCAACAGCAGTATCAACAGCATCGGTTCTTCTACTTTTGCCGAGGTAACATACATATTTTCTTGAAGCAGACTTACTCTTTGGAGCTAACCTATAGCCACCTCCAATTTACTTCCTAGTGCGTTGACCATAAGCTTATTATCTAATCGACATCCAGGGTACGATCCAAACACAAGCACATATGAATGGATATTATTACTGTTATGCTGAAATAATGGGTGGTTATGGAATAATGCATAGAGTAGATAAGAAGACCACCTCCAGAATCCATACCCCTCTGAGAGGAAGTAAACAGTGGCTTTTGGGCCAGATTTAACTTTAGACACACTACGCAGCGTTGCGTTAAAACCACTTGAGATCCACGTGAGATTTGTAGAGAAGTTGTTAAGCCGTGCGAATGACATGATGTTCGAACCAAGAATGTTATAATTTTCGAGAGTGGCTAAAATAAAAAAGGAAACCGTGAAAAAAAAAACTCACGTATAAATCGACATCACCATAATCGTTGTCAGAGTGAATGAATCGGCTACTTTTCTATAGAACGAAACATCATCGCTGAAGAATACGAGGACGTCTTGCGAAGGAAACATCCGGAAAAAGAGCAATTTGCTATGATGTGTAACTTCTTCTGAACCAGTCTAACGGATTTCACGTAGCTCCAACAGACCACCATCATTTACTTAACAATCGCGTAGACATAAAATATACCACTTTAACGAGAAATATTTCCTTAAGAACAATATGAACAACAGCATTCCCCATACGGTGAAAAAGTCGTATCGGTCGGCTTTTTAAAAGTTCTACGTAAAATCGATAAAGTTATCACTCCATACTATGCACTCTATCCGTTATGCACACTACTAGCATTTCGCTGGTTCTTCTGCAGAACTGTTTCAGTTCGTCGATGATCCACAGCTGGTCTTCGTCGCATCGGGTCGAATCCGATAGAGGAAGCACCGCACGAATGGTGAACTCACTCGGCGGCGCCCTTTTTATA